CCTGATTTAAGCCCCGGTCCACACAAGGTACATTCTACCACTTCATTTCCATTTGTCAATCAAATCCTTCCTCATATGTCCTGCAATTTTAACTATTTTGTCTTATGATCTTTCTGTACAAAGTTTCATCCCTCTGTGCATCATAAGTTGTTGGTTGACATCGTTATGGATGTCAATAATGCAAAGATCGCAGAGTACCGGGAGTGCCTTGATATCAGCAATGCCACAAGCTAGGCCAGTGATGGGAATGGGTTGCTAGTATGCCAGTAATTTGGGTGGCAACAGGAGTTCACTAATTTTTTATTTTTTGATTTCAATATGGATGTTAATTATGGCTCCCCAGTATTGTTTTTGTTGGACGATGTAAAGATGGACTAACTACAAGGTGCAAGTCAAATGTAAACATGGATCAAACATGTCGATATGGCTGCTGTCTTATTACTATTTTGTTTACGCATGTTTCTTGTTTAGATGAATGCGACTGAAATAAATATAATTTACGGGTGCTTTTTTAATTATATTTTGAGGAACGTACTTGCTGCCCAATTTGTCAGCATAACTTTGATGTCGCAACTATAATAAAAAATAATTTGAAGTTGACGGAAATTGTTTTACACTTGCTCCCTAGTCATAATCATACTATCTTCCTTCTTTGTGTGGTTGTATGTCTGAAGCTGACGGAAATTGTAATTCCCTATTTCCATTGATGTCTTTCATATTCCAAGGAAATTGTTGTCGGTGTGAGTTGACATCAAAATGTTATGGATCCCAAGTACATTACCAAATAACTTACAAAATATCTGACATGGGTGTGGGGCCCACTCACGTGTGATTTGTGTGAGTTGGACACCTATGTCACCAATTTTGTAATTTGCTTGCTAATTTATTTGGGTCCCTAATAGAACTCAATTATTTATGTAGTAGTCAAATTGTTACTCGTTTTACAATAAATCATAAGTATTTGAAGACTGCATATGAATGAAAAATCAATACTCTTTGTAAGTAATTTATATATCAGCCCATTAGCACATATGACTCCAGCCAAAACAAAAAATGCAACGTCTTACAGGGAAGGTTTAAAAAACAAAAAAAAATCTATATATCTGTTGTATCATCAGCAGCGTCTTTTGAAGAGTTGTCCGTACTGTCTGATTGACTGTCCTCATCCATTGTCTTATTAGAGTTCGCTTCATCTGTCGCCAATTTCTCATCGGTCAGCCAATCAACGTTCTGCTTCATAGCGCCGACTTGCAGCTCCAAACTTGACAACCGTATATCCACTTCATTCAGCCTTTCGTAGATATCTTGCAACTGCTGCAATACAGGAGCAACATGAGCCTCAACAATAGTTTCAATCTTGTTCGAATCAGACATTTTGTAGGAATATATGTATGGTTTATTTTACTTACTACTATTTTAAAGAAATGTACAAATTCATAATATTACACAACACTACGCTGTAAGTATTTATAAGATATGGTACATGACTTGTATGTTTTCAGAAATAGGCATGCAACCAGGCTTGGAAGAGCCAAAAGGGGCCACCGCAGTTACCAGAAATCTTCTTGTCGACAAAGGAAAATAGAGCCTTATAAAGGGTGGCAAGAAGATAAGGGGCTAAAGCCATAGGTTGGCCATCTTGCATACACAAGGCAAGGGGGAGGTATTCCTTCGTGATCTTGTACCCAAGGATACAAAAAACAAACTCACAAAGGCAAAGTAAGTAAAAAGCAGTTCTTTCTTTGTCCTCGACATAGGAACCAGGCTCGCCTTTGTATTTTTTGGCGAAATCTGTATAGCACATGTCAGTGTTTAAAGTAAAGGTCACTTTTGGAGGCTCAAGGAGAGCATGAATTGGATTACCCAAGATTGGGAGACCAGTCAAGTGAGCTACATCTAAGATGGTAGGGGAAATCATACCAAAATTGAAGAGTAGGGAGTTACAAGATTGTGACCAAAAGCATGCAGCAGCAGAAATCAGCCCTTTGTCCATGTCATAATTTGTAATCAACAATCTAATTACTTCACTAATGCCCTAGTGCTTCCATACTTTAGCGTCATGACCTTCAATTCTCCTGGCCTAGCTTCGCCAAACAGAGTTTGGTGACCTCCACGATCTGAATGGGTTTTTGCTGACATTCCAGTTAGTCCACTTAAGTCCAGGTTGGTTGAGAAGAAGGTTCTCACCATTACCAAGGGGATAGTATAGAGCTAGCTCGTCTGGGAAGTAAGACGTGAAGGTAGGGCCTAGAGTAGCCTTAGCGACAAAGCTTGTGCTAGGCAATAGGGTAATATCTAATTTTAGAGGAGCAATATGTGCTTTGATAAGGTCTGGGAAGCGAAGTAGGTCTTCATTGTTCTCCTCAGATAGAGATGGTTGAGATTTTTTGGGCGCCATGGCTTAGGGTTTTGTGGTGCTGTGTTTTTGAACGGCAATGCTTGAGAAGAAGGAGTATAGTCTAAGGAGTTCGAATTAGAGGGAAATGCAGTGGTTTGAAGTTGAAAAGGTAGGTCTTTTATAGCTTATGATGGGGCCAGTATATTTAAATGCTCTTATATTGGGCTGTAGTTTATGTTTGTTTTGAGCCTGTATTAAGAAATTTGTTAATGGACTTATCTCTTGGGCTCAGGGGAATAAATCTTTGGGTTAAGTACAAATTGGGCCCAAACAATGGCCCCCTTGTTCAAGTTAAATATCATATGACTTGGCCCTCACAAGGGGCACCTCCATGACCCCTCTCTCTCTGATTGGCCAGTTTTTTAAAAAATTTTTTTTTTTTTTCCTTCTCCTCCAATCACCAGCCCCTACATGTGTGTGGGGGGGGCGGTGGGGGTGGTGATTGGAGGGGGTCTCAATCACTTCCCCAAGGTTAATTCATATGATATTTAACTTGAACAAGGGGGCCATTGTTTGCACCAAGTTTTGCTAGTCTCTGTCGATAAATGGTCCACTTAATGGAGGACACGTAGCCAAGTCTCAAGGAATGTCCACCAATTGAAAGTGGGTTCTCTGCATGTGGGTCACCTAGAAGTGATGGGGAAGTTTTTAGCACCAGTCATGGAGTTAGTGGGCACACTTTCAGGAGGAAGCATGAGACAAAGTAGGAGTCTTGCTCTGTCGACAGAAGTTTCAAACAGTTAGTGGCCATGAAATAAACAGAAGAAAAGGAAGATTGACAGATAGAAGTGGAGGTTTAGTATACTTGGAAAGCCTAGAAGGGAGATCGTTGGTTTTGATATCTGTATACTATTTTTGTGGCCCATCATTGCATGATCTCACACGTCTACACCATAACTGCCACTGTAACTGCCCCCTGACTTCAAATCTTCAAGTCCCCTCTACCAAATATTGACTCTTCCCTGTCGACCTTCCTTTTCACCATTGTGGGGCATGTCCCTCATCATTATAAGACAAAAATCGATAGAATATTGTCCACTAAACACAACTACAATCCTTGCAAACTAGGCCACTGAACCACAACACTTGGCCACTTATTGTAACTGCCCCTGACTTTGAATCATCAAACTCTGTCAAATATTGAATTTTCCCTGTAATTTAATCAAAATATATTCAATGTCGGTAAACTTGTTAATATTTGAAATAACCTTTTTTTGGATTGTAATGACTTAAACACAATTGTTGTCCTACATTTTACGTAACCAAAATACACAACTTATTTATATCCAAAACAAAATATACATCTCGGGTTTATAATCATACAAATGGAAACTATTTTTTTGTAAAAAAAAAGTTCACTCATATTTTTAGCTAAATTATGATTGGTTATTTTTAAAAAATTCCTCTTTGCACCTATTTTTCCCACATCCTGCCAACAGCTACTCCATTCAATTGAGGACACATGGCAAGTCCGCCTGAAGACAAGGGTTATCAACTAACATTGAATCTTGCCACCTGACTTACACGGTGGAGCAGTTACTGGCAGTACTCATGGATTTAGTAGCCAGCCTCCAAGAGGAAACATGAACGAATTGGGAGTCTGTATCTATCAAGGAAAGGCTAAAAGGACTTGCGCACATGTGGCAACTTCAATGATATGCACTTCGACAGGTACAAGTGAAGGTTTTATGTGGTTTCAAGACACGAAAATGACCGTGCAGTTACAAAAGTTGCACAGAAACAGTTACAGATTCGGCAGATCATGGAGTCATGGGAAATAAGAGCTATAAAGGGCAGAAGGTTTGCAGAGAGAGAGGACATGAACAATAACACAACAACTTACTTTCTACATTATAACTTCTTAGTAGTTTTTTTCCTTCTCATTTGTACTTTGTCACTGGGTGAACTTTACCATCAGCTCATATCAGAAAGTTCATTTTACTTGTTTACTTTGTTACCATCAGTTCATCAAAAGAAGTCTTCATCCTTTTCAGACAATACCACTCTAAACAATATGGGAAATTTACAACTCGTGGCCTTGTACATAAGTAATGTTATGCCATTTCCTAGCATTGTACGTACTAATTATTTACACGTTACGTACAACAACCTGTGCAAAATGAAAACTACATACATTATTTACATGTGTTTTCAATAGCTAGTACTGTCTACTTAATAAATTAAGGGAATAAGGAAATCATACAAATTATGCAATTACCTAATTCACCTCATCAATTGTGATTGAATCATTTTTGCACACTGTTGCTTCAACACTACCATATTGGCCCACAGGCTGTTTGGAATCACGAGAAACATCAAAAAATAGTCGTCGTTGCTTAATGTGCGGTATACTTGGATCCACTAACCCAGTTTTGCAGCGAATGGGCAATGACTCCACATTGTACTCACGGTCAATGATGTGGGTTGTATCTGCATCTGAGTTACTACCCACTGTTCGACTAAACCAAGCCTTAGGACACGGTCGCTTTGTGTGCCCAATGCATTTGCAATTTCCACATTTTCTTGGTCTTCGACAGTTGGACGAGGCCCGTATCGGGTTCCTTTTTGTCTTCACAAGATCAGGATCTTCTACTCTAAATTGTCATGGGATTGAATGTTTCCCTTTGTCTCCATCCCCATTGTTCAGATTCCTCTCATATAACTCCTTCATCCGGCTCGTCATCGGAAGACATGCATCCCTAGCCTCTTTGAAACGTTCCTTTGATTGCGAGGCATAGAAACACATTTCATTGTAGGAAGAACTCAATATCCCATACCGGGCCGTCTGTGTTGTAATGCTATCAATTGAGGGTTGAGGCCATTGCTGGCCATCCTTGCTTGCAGCCCTTGTCCATCTATGTAGCACACAAGTTGGTGGAATTTGCGTTAAATTTTCGGCTTTCATAACACATATCATATGACAGCAAGGTAGGCCCAACAACTCAAACTTCGTGCAAGAACATCTCATTGCAGCATCCACTGGATTGTGTGTTACTATCCATGATCTATCCTTCACCTTGTACTTATGAATATAGTAGCATTTCTGACCATCTGACAAATGGAACACATCCTTGACATTCAACTTCCCCTCTTCTAAGATTTCATCACGGAACATTCTAAATATATTTCGGGTGAATAGCTCAGCTCCACGTCTCTCTATATCTCGCAATGGAGTAATCAATACCGGTAAAGTGTTATTTGTTTTAGCATCATCGCCAGCCTCGTTATACCTTATCCTTGCAAGAGCCTGATCATAGTGCCTAACAAATTCATATAGCTTCAATTTGCGTTAGAGGAAGGGATTGAAATAAGCATTTATACTCTTCGAGCGTTGAGTGCTCTTCATCCGAGCAAAGAAATGTCCATGCATATATGCCTCAGCCTACATATGACGCTTCTCATATGTCTCCAACACCCAACTGTTGGTTTGAAGTCCAAATTTTTCGACCATTCTCGTCCAGCCATGCTCAAACTTTGCCTCATTCGTTTCCATGTCCATGCACTGCTTGAAAGCATCTGCAAAGCCACTTTTGTGAACATTTGAAATAACATTTTTCCCAATATGCCAATTACATAATCGATGTCTTGCGTCTGGAAATACTCTTCTGACTGCCTCTCGCATCGCCTTATCTCCATCTGTCAGTACGGACACAGGTGCTTTATTGCCTATCGCCTCCATAAATGTTTCCAAAACCCATGTGTATGTATCAATTGTCTCATTAGCTAGCAAAACACATGCAAATATCGTGGTCCTAAAGTGGTTAGTCACACCAGCCAACATGACAAAAGGTTTCTTGTATGCATTGGTTCTGTAAGTTAAGTCAAATATCAACACATCACCAAACTTTGCGTAGTCAGCCTGCGATTTCGAATCTACCCAGAACAGATTTTGTAACTTGTTATCCTTACACACATCATACTTGTAAAACAAACATGCGTCAACATCAAGTTTTGCACATAGGTAAACCAATGCACCTTGCGCATCACTATCCTCAACTTCTGCTCTACGTTCGGCTTGAATATGGTTGTGCAGATCCGTACGGATGAAACAACATTCTCATAAGACTCGGATTGATTTACCATATAGTCCATGATTTGGCTAGTCTTTACACCGACGTTGCGCATAGCCATTGCTTGAGCTTTGTCAGCGCTGTTTAAACTGCGATGTGACCTCAAATACATCACACAGTGTTGTTCCACCAATTCATGGTTGTGGTCTGCGACGAAGTGAGTCACAACATACTTTCTCCCTTCACCAACATCTGCATCGTACCGTATACAAAATTGGGCTTTGTAACCTACTCTTGTTGGTGCCTTGGGAGCTCTACTCTTCTCAGCAACACGGTTCAAGTATTTTGATAATCTCTGACCCACAGCCTACTAACAACCTTTCCCTCTTTATTTGTGTTAAATCTGGATTTTCATATACTAAATCCCTTGGCTTTAGCATACGCATTGTAAAAAGCTTCTCCAACTTCAACCGAATCAAATTTCTATTCTAGAATAGCACGTTCAACATCACCAACCATGTCATTGGGATGAGCATCATCAACCATTTCTTTTTTTACATCGGCTCTGCCATCTTCAACGTTCATGTTGGTTGCTTCTTTATTGCTCGGACCAGCTTCGCAACCATGATAAGGTTCCGCCAGACTTTCATTGATCAAACGAGTGTCATCTGCTTCATTTGGAATGTCATAATCATCACCTTCCCTTTTAACTTCCGCTGGGGCCATACTGCACATGACATTAGTACAAACAATTACTTGATGACTGAAAAATGTTAATACAAACACAAACATGACATTTTCACACGATTTAATTGTTTGTGCAAACACAAACACTCACTTGAGAAAGAAAAATATTAGTTGCCAATGAAGGGTTTCCGTTTGAGGGTTGAAGTTAGGATGGGGGTTTAGTTGAGGGAAAATAGCTGAAGTGAATAGGCTAGAGAGAGGGAGACAGAGAGAGGGAGACAACTCCATACCTCATAGCTAGTTGGAGAGAACACCTTCACTTCAGCAATGGAACCAACACAACCTTGTAGTTCCGTTGTTGTTGGAAATTGCCCGTTATACTATTCCCCACAGAGTTTCGTCAATGGAACCCAGCAAGGAATTCTCGCTGTTAATGGAAATCAAGGGTTACACTAACTCAACCTTACACATAGAGGATAACAGAGAGAGATAGAGACGAAATAGAGAGAGTGAGTAGGATGCAATCATGCAAATACAAGCATTAACCAGTTGCCCCGATTTCAACTTTTTCACGATTAAACAATTCAATGGTCTTGATCAAATATTGTAATCTAACAGCTAACAATTGGATTGCATATGGTGTGCAACCTTAAGGGGGTTGCACACTTAAACAGCGCCCAAAAGTATAATATAATAATGTATTTGGCAAATCAAATACACTTTGATTAGTCAATAAAATTAGTATTTATTTAGAGTGCTACTATTAATATCCTATTAATTATTTTGAATTTTTTCTTTTATAGTTTTTTTTATTACAATAATAAGCTCAAATGAAATTATTAAAAAGAACATCAATCAGTGTGTTTTTTGAATTTACTTTTTTGAAAATATAGTTTTTTTTTTATTTTTCGTGTTTTTTTGTTTCTAGTGAATATTTTTTAAATTTTAAACATTTTTTTTACTTTTTGAGATGTACCTTACTTAGATATATCTAAATAGAAAAATATTTTTAAAAATTAATAAACACACAAAAATACGAAAAATGTACTAAATTTTCATTTTTCTTGTATTTTTAGTATTTAGTGAATTTTTTAAAGATTTTTTTCACAAATATTATACTTTTTAAGTGTATTTATGTTAAGTGTATCTAGAAATTAAAAAAAATTTGCTTAAATTATTAAAAAAAACTCATTAAAAAATAAATAAATAAAATAAAATATTCTGAAAAGTGTTTTCTAGAAACCAAAACCAAACAAGCTGAATAATTTCGGGACACTCCATCTCACAATTAAGCCCATACACCCACTACATCATGAGTTAGGGTTTATTAGAGCACCCACTTCCATCACCACATATCCATCTTTCCTAAATCCCATATTCTAATCCTACCCACCCTCAAAACCTTGAAAACCCTTTGGCGGCAATATTCCGACAATAATGGTGGCAACCATTTGATTACCTACACTTCTCTAACAATGACAATGAGTGAAAGTTTTTCCGGCAATCACAACTCCATGAGAAGAGAGGAGTACAACAATAAAAGCTTAGACGAGATTTATAACTTTAATGGTATTCTTAGCTTAGAGAAGATTAGCCATATAAGGGTAAGTTTTTTGAGAAAATTAACACAAATAATAAAAATTGTTCATCATTTTTTTGGGATTGAACTCCCAAACATATGACCGAAATTCAGGAGCACAGGCCCGAATATTGTTCATTTGTTTGAGAACAGGTAGTCGAACATTTCTTATTTGTTCAAAACAAATAACCGAAACTCGTGGAGATCGCAGAACCTACAAAAGGGGAATTTTGAATCAATAGCAAAAAAAAATCTACATTTATTTTCTCAGGTCATGAACAAGTATGTAGAGATAAAATAGTAATCACTTTCGTCGATTTTGTTAGGATTTTAGGGATAGAGGCTTTTTTGTGGATTTTGTTAGGGTTTTGGGGATAGAGGCTTTTTGGGGTGTAGGGGTGTGCATTCATTTGAATGGGTAGAATGTTTTTACAATGATAATTTTGGTATTATTTGGGAGGAGAAAAGAAATTTTAAGAGTTTTAAAATTTATAAGTAGATGTTCAAAGAAATAGAGAGTTCAAAATAATTAATTGTGTGTTAATGTCTATACTCTTTATTTAATAATATTGTGATATGAAAAAAGGCCTAATTCATGTCGAGTAAACCTTCTTGTTGTGACAATTCTTAATTCATGAGTTGTAAGAAAGGATTTATGTCACCACAAATAGATACTAAAGAAAACGTTGGATTAAGAACAAGGTATTTCTCTTCGTACAATTGTTTAAGGGAGCAACTTGCCTCCAGTCTTTAATCGGACTGGACGGTGTTGTTTGGCCCGTGGGGGCCCACCACGGGTCCCATTTTGATAATCTAAACCGTTCAATGTGTAGAACTCGTCGAATACTATATGCCTGTAAAAAATCATGCTGATCGAATATCAATATCTATTTCATCTTATCATTTTTTTGTCAATCGTTAATTTGTTCACTGTTCATTTTTTTTTTAATAAAAAAACTGATTTGATCACATAGCTATCGATATCCGATCAATGTGATTTTTTACAAGCATATAGTACTTGGTGAGTTCTACATTTTAACTGGTTCAGATTATCAAAGTAGGACCCATGGTGGGCCCCCACGGGCCGAATAGCACCGTCCAGTCCGATTAAGGACTGGAGGCAAGCTGCTCCCATTGTTTAAATCAACACCATATTTGTTGTGCTTTGATGATCCAAAACCATTAGAACATTGTGCTTTGACCATTTGCAATTTCATTTCAGTTGAGAGATACACGTGTTAGAATAGGAAATTGTTCGAATAAGAAATATAAGAATAGGAAATAATAATTGTATCCTTATTTATCTTATTTATTCCTTTTTTGGGTTGCTCAGAATTAGGCATGTAATCCCTCAGAATTATCAATATAAAAGGGAATAAAGTCTAACTCATTCTCTGTCTCTTTCTCTTCTCTAAATCTACATGGTATCAGAGCCAAAACCCTAGCACTTACCTCATTCTCTTCTGTCGGCACTCATTCTTCTCGCAAGCATTATTGCTGGCAGTTCTCTCTCTCTCTAGGAGTCCAGTCGGCCACTGTAGACTCTCACCCAGGCCACCGACAGTCAATCCGCACATCTGACACCCTTGCCCAGTTCATCAGTAGACCTCCTAGGCTCTCCAACAACTTCTTAGGCTTAGTCGGCAGCCCATCTGGCCTTCTAGGGGTCTGTTGACAGCCTCTCTGGCCTTCTAAAGGCCTGTTGGTAACCCCTGTGGCCTTTTTGGCCTCTGTCGGCCACGCTCCCGACAATTAGCTTCTCCAGACAGTTGGTCGATCTCCATATTCTGCTTCTCTCTTTGTTTCATGTAATGTTTCTAACTTAGACAAAGTTAAATATATTTATAAAAAAAAGAAGAAAACAGAACCAAAAAAAATATTTATGAGTTCTTAATTCTTCTACTTTCATCGCGGTAGTTGGGTCTTTTCTTCTGTTATTATTTTCCAGGTTTGTGATTGGTATTGTGTTTGAGAGTTAACTAGTAGAGTATCCATGTCCGATTCCCTTAATGAGTCTACTACTTTTCAGCCTCCTAAGAGCGAGAGTTCCATTATACCTCCTACCATGACTGATAACCTCAACCTTGGCATTAATATCACTACCTCTATATTTAATGGTCAAAATTATCTAGCATGGTTGCAAAGTCTAACTATTTTCTTGAAGAGCAGAGGGAAAATGGGGAATGTTGACGGAAAGATACAGAGGCCCAATACCATGGATCTTAGTTATGACCAATGGGAGATCACCAACTCCCTAATCATAGAGTGGTTAATACTTTCTATGATACTTGAGATTGGAGAGGGCTACTTGTCTATGGACACTGTCCAGGATATTTAGGAGGCTGTCACCACTACTTACTTTAGGAAGGGCAACTTCTCACAGGCTTTCGAGTTACATTGCTCCATTAAAAGGTCAGTCCAAGGTGAGATAACTATCCTCCAGTATTTTACCTTTCTTGGTAACAGGTGGAAGCTGCTTGATCACCTTTAAGATTACAAGCCTGTCTATCCTATTGATTCTGCTACTTACCGGATGTTTGTGACACAAGAACGGGTCTTCAAGTTCTTAGAAGGCCTAAATGAGGAGTATTATTCGGTTCGGAGCAGAGTACTTGGCATGGATGTGCTTCCTTCTCTCCAGGAAGCCTTTGCTTTTGTGTAGAATGAGGAGAGTCGCCGTTCTGCAATGCTTCCTTCTACTACTACTGATCATTCGGCCTTGGTTTCTATACCCTCTCGCGATGGCGACCGTGTGACTCGTGGTTCTCATCCTTCCTCTGAGAAGGATAACCTTTACTGTGACTGTTGTTGTCGCTCTTGCCACACACGAGAGATTTGTTGGAAGCTGCATGGAGCTTCTTCTAGTGGCTGAGACGACCGTCCTGGTACTCAAGGGGGTCGGTCTGGTACTAGAGGTCGTGGGGCCAATGCACGAGCCCATCTTTCAAACACTGTTGAGCCACCATCTTCATCTCCGGTTGTCTCCTCTGCTGCTGATGTTTTCGGGTTATCTGCCTCGAATTTTGAAATTGCTCTTCGCCACTTGCTAGGTAGTCGAGCCTCCACTTCTACTACAGGTGCACCCTCTTCTTCCTTTGCCAATTTAGGTAACTTGGCTCTCTCCCTATGTGCATTGTTATCGCATACGACTATACCATGGATTATTAATTCCGGTGCTTTTGACCAAATATCTGGCTCTTCTAATTTATTTTCAAAGTATAACCCCTTCTCAGGTTAGGAAAAAGTGTGTATTGCAGATGGTACCATTTCGTCTGTATCAATGAAAGGTTTAATTCATGCCACCTCTTCCCTTCCTTTGTCTTCTGTTCTCCATGTTCCCAATTTCAGTGTTAATCTTTTATCTTTGAGTCGTATTACCCGTGACATTTTTTTCCTGATCAATGTCTTTTTCAGGACCTTATCATGAGGAAGAAGATTGGCAGTGATAGAGAGGAACATG